AGATCCCAAGTTAAATTGTCATTTCTTTTTTTTTTTTTGTTCTCCATTGTTTGCTCACCAGCACATAAGATGAGGGATACTTGTGTCTTTTATTTGACTATAATTGTGTTAAGTGAGCGTGTACCTTTGGCTGCTTTGTGTGGGTGCTAGATTACAGTTAATGAACCTGCTGATGGTGTGTGGCACTGACAAAGCTTTAAGGTAATAGCTGTAAGGCAAAGTTTTAGCATAGAGGGTGAAAGGTGTTTTTCTTTTTAATGTTCTTCAGGATTGCAAACACTGGATAAATTCTCAAGTCAAGCCAAAATTTATTGTCCTAATCTGGCTGTATGAAGAGAAACGAAACAGTAATCCTCAATGTTCCTGATAGACAAAGTGCTGGTGTCTGGTTTTTATATGCAAGTTGTATTTTGCATAGTTTTATTTGATCCTATGTTTGCTGCACACGTTTTTTTTCCTTTCTTGTTGTTTTTACACAAAGTGCTTTTTTTTGACCGCCTCCTCATTTGTTGTCTGTGGTTGTCCTCTCTGACCATTAGGACCCAAGGCTGTAACAAATTCTCATGACTAGAGGTCTTAACAGCATTTGATTTGCACCGTTTATGCACATTTTCTAGCATTAGTACCATTTCTTCTGAATGTCTGTGGTCACGTCTTTCCTGTTTACCAACTGACTTGTCATTGTTTTCCACGGTGTACTGAGACTGTATTGTATATTAAAGTATCCTATTTATTCTTATCCTCTGTGGGTGTGGTACTTGATAATAACCTTGTACTGTACCTTTTTTGTTTAGGAAGATATTCCACTGGAATAAAAGGTTAAAAGGTGTGTTGCATTTATTATCAGATCCAGTAACAAGCATAGTAGAAACATCCAGCAGTTTGCTCTTTCTACATGCTGGCAACTAGCTAAATGTGTACTGACTCAAGAAGACACTGCACCATAGGAAATGATCCTCCAGATGTCATATTATTAAAACAATTGAATCTTTAAAGAAAACAAAAACTTTGGTCCATGGCATCACAGGCATGAATGAAATGAAATCAGTGATACACAGGTTACTGTAATACATATTAGTCCATTAAGTCAAAATAGAATTCTGACCTGCACCAAGTACAGTAAAATAAAAAAGCTGAACACAATATAAACTATATGAAGTATGAAATGCAACTTTATTACAAACTCATTTTAGGTATCCAAAGAGAAATGATGATCTCAGTCTCTGTGTGATCACGGCTCGTTGCCGTTGACACACTTATGCTGCTCCATCCGACTCCTCCGCAGCATCTCGATGTGCTTGGCTCTCAGCCAACCGTCTATGGACAGAGAGGTCTGTCCCAGGCTCAGAGACAGCAACCTGCAGACACAGCCACATCTCATTCATACACCTCTCAGCTTGAACAGATTCCAAATGCTGGCACAGTTTACTGGCCGAGGCAGTCCCGGAGGTGCACAGGAAGTCAAAATGTTTCTTTTTTTGTTTTGGTTGCAGTGACTGTCAGCCACTTTTACACGTCACTGCTGCCACAATTACTTATTTTGTGTTTAACAATTTGCTCTTTAAAGAATGCTTACCATGCTGTTGGTATTAGATTAAAAGGAAAGAAATGCCATGTGAAGGAGCTTATATAAACCACAGCCCACCTCGCCACGACGAGCATCCTGTGGAGGTCCTCGGCAGATATGCTCTGTGGGTCATCCTTCCTCATATCTACAAAGTCATCCTCAACTGACTGAGGAAGCCACAAAAGAACAAGCAGTTAGAGGCCACTAATGCACACAGATGAGAACAGACTTTGCTGAGCACATAAAAGGGAAGTGAACCAATCAAGCAACTGGTACAAAGTTCTCATTCTTATTTTGCATAAATTTAGTCTAAGAAGAATCAGCAGACTGAAGGTGACAGTATCTCACCTTGGTAACCTCATCAGAAATACTGTAGTCCAGCAGCTGAGCCACACTCAGGTAGGATCTGAACTTATTCAGTTGTGAAGACGGCTGCGGATGCAGGACGATGCTGCTGAGATACTCCTCCAGGTGGGGTGGGGCAACCTGAGGCTGCAGGTGTATTCGACAGTCTGACTGTGAAGAAAGAGAGATACTGACACTGTGCCAAGGAATCCTTTTCAAATAGAAAAGCTAAATGTATCAGTAGTTAGTTCACTGGTGTTGCTATGCAAAATAATGTCCTGTCAGTTCTGTTCATGCCTCAACTTCATAGCATACCAGAGAGGAGCAAAGCCTTGGCAAACTAACAGTTAAACATCTTGACCCTCGAGCTGCTCATCAGCCAATACTTAATCAATATAAACACAGCTGTCTACTTCTGACTTCTATTCAACCCCAGGATTTGTTTACAGTGTGCTGCCCTTCACTGTTGGCCTAATAGATGGCCTGCCCTGACGCCCCTCACCGGATTGTTCCTGTGGCACACAGCTGCCACCATAACAACCCGTTAGGCCAACACACAGGAATAGCACACAGCACATTCCTCAGGTTGTTCGCAACAGTGCAAAACCCGGGCTAAAGCTGCCTGCTGTGGCAGACCAATGGCAGCTAAGATAACAGTGTGACGCCAGCTAGAAACAGCCTCTAGCGTTTGACATGGCTCAGTCTCATGATTGGCTGGAGGAATCCCAAACCCTCCCTGGCCATGCCAGGGTGTTTCGAGTGTGTGTAGGACAGTGGCGGGTGGGAGATTTTGCCCTACTGTTGCATGCCTCATTCCTCTCTGTCCTCACCGGCAGCAGTGAGCGGCCCTCTGACGCAATGAGCACGTTAATATTGCAGGGGAATTCCATCTGGTGGTAGTTAAAGTCATAATCAACCTTCTGCCATGAGATCAGGTTTCCCAGGGCTGTGACATTACGCACACCTACAACACAGAACAAAAGCACACAAGAAGTTGATCAGTGTTTGCTAACCATGCTAACAGTGTGTACAGGCTGCAGGGAGGCCGTCTGTCTTCAGTGTTGTCCCCTTGAGGTTCCTATAGGCCTCACCTGTTGTGTCTAGTTGTCCTTGCTCCAGTTGAGTTTCATCCAGGAAGAGCGAAGTGTTTCTGGCCAGCTGCAAGGCTCCACTCACTAGCCGGTTGGCCACATAGTCCTTCTTAGGCACCAGGCACATCTGGTTCATGTTCTGAAGGCTCATGCCCAGGTAATATGACTGCAGGGAGGACAGAAAATCTTTCATTGTAACCGAAAACAAAAAAACATTAACTGCAGCACTTCTGGCTGAGTGACAAAGTTCACCCACAGAAGGAACGAGCTGTTGGATGATCTGGTAGAGGCGTTCGGTGTAGGAGGCGACAGCAGGGCAGCCACTCAGGTTCAAGGTGAACTTGCCCAGTGGGAGAATGTCTCGTCTAGCGTACCTATGAGTAAATCAAACACACTGTAGTGTGAGAAGCACACAGCCACAAAGACAGCACGGCAGCTGTTAAACAACTGGACTTGTATGCGACACGTACACGGTAGAAATGAGATGCAGGATGAGGTACTCAGCAGCCAGGGCATCTCCCAGAAGCACATGAGTGAAGTATGTGAGTAGCTCTGCCCTGACAGAGGCCATCTTACTCAGGGTTGAGGATAAAACTGTGGAGTAAGGACAAGAGTTATAAAGTCACTGTGGCCTCAGCAATCATGTGCAACAGCTCCACAGTGGGAGACGTTCACTGCATTACTCCTCTTGTCCTTCTCTTTACAAGACTTCGCTATCTTTCCCCGCCTTCTGCAACATAATAATATGATGGTTACTAAAGTTTATATTGCCTTCTACTTTAAAACTGGGTTTTCAAAATAGCTGATTTCAGTCTACTAGAGTGAAATCAGCTATTTCTCTCACACACACACACAAGAAAAAAAGATTTTTGGCTATCAAACACCATTTGTCCTCTGTTTGTCCTTACAGGCACTGTTGTCCTCCAAGATGACAGAGGGCAGTAGGGGGTTGTTGTGTCGCAGTGGCTTTGCATGAATCATGTGGAGGCGAGGGACAAGTGAGGCCGGTGGACTGTGCACTCTCTGTTCCTCTGCAGTCTCCATGCACTCTGTAGGGTCCAAGAGGGATGAGGAGGCGTCTCTGTGTGGACACAACAAAGAATGAGTAACACACACAGGCAGATCACCACCAGAGGGAAATTAAATTGTGTCTTACTTCTCGTCAGCTAGAGCGCTGAGGGCAGGGCTGACAGAGAGGACCCCATAGATCTCTAGTGTGTCGTTCAGTTTGAAGCTGTCCCAGTTCTCGTACACCTGCCAGCAACACACACATTTTACCTTTTTCTTTGACACATGGAATGTTATCACCTCTAAAATCACCTCTCAGAACAAATGCCCAACTTGTGGCAAGTGTCCATGTTACAATAGTGCAAGTGAGATAAGAAAAAACTCCACCCTGTTAGGAACAGGACATACCTTCACTAGACAGGAGGGGCCTTTCTCTCCTGGCAGGGGAAAGTTGAGGTTGAGATGGGAGGGAGATGCTGTCTGGCTGGAAGGAGCTTCAGTCTCCTGCCGCTTACAGTCGCCATTGCTGTGCTGTTCTGAGGGACTATGAGGACCTGCAGTGAGGGGGGGAGCAGTCTCCATTTATGACCCAATCTACCCCTGAAAATTTTGTATTTGCAGTGCTGCAGTTTACTTCTCTGGTGTATTGTTATTTTTTTTTTCTGTGACTGGTGAACTGAGCTTAAATGTTAATTCTTGACCTTAGTCCTGAAGGACTTTCAATCATATCGCATGGTATTCATTCATAGATGGAGCTCACTTGTTGTAGAATTGTAAATATTGAGGATTTCTGATGAAAATCATGTGATATGATAAAACACTGACTGGACAATGGTGCTGTTTTGCATTCAACTACACATTTACTCATCTCCACAGACCAGTATGTTGCTCCCCCTGTTTCTGCGGCTGCACGTCCATCTCGTCATCTTCCTCATAGCTGCGTTTCTGTCTGCTTGGCACATACGACGTGGAAGGAACCACCCTTGCTTGGCTGGAGCTGGCATAGCTGTGCGACAGAATTAAAGAAAACTAGGGGGCGATATTCAAAAACACTTCCACATGAGTTGGGTGCTTCAAAGATCACATCATAAAATACACATTTAAATGTCTCCTGTTTGAAGAGCACTTCCAGGAATGAATAACAAGATGAGGATATCTCTTTGACCCAGGGATTTTCCCCAGGGATTGGCACACAATAGAAGGTCTGTCGCTCTGCAGTCACAGTGTTTCTAGAGTTAAAATCCACCTAGAGATGAATGCATGGGTCAGTGCTGTTAAAGGCAAAGCTCAACCGAGGCATTTATGGACACCTTGCAAGACTGAACTGAGGCATACACACCCCGCATTCTGTCACATCTTTGTACTTCCCACATCGCAGCACCTGGGGAAAGCCAGACAGTAAAATATAATGACAATATGATAACACATCATGACATGGAATAAGACTCAAAACAGATTTGATGGATGCCATGCACACAGCTGCACATGGACAAGGAAGCACTTACTTTAGCCTGTGTAGGCAGATCAACAGTCTCATACACTCCCATGTAGAACTCTGGATCAAACATGTCTTGGATTAAACAGCGAAACTTCACCAGGCTGTTTGGCTTCAGGTAGTGCAGGGGGACATCGTTCAAAGATGGGACCTGCACCAAATTGAACGTGGTTATCGTCCAGACAGGCAGTTTAAGCATCTTCTGCATCTGTGTAATTTACATGTTGAAAAGGATCTCAGAGCTGCATTACCCAGGTATGAGCCCCATCCTCTTTCAATCGATCTTTGAAGAATTCAACCACTTTGGCTTCCCATGCAGAGTTTGAATTGTTCTGGGAAGCAGCTAAAACATCAACAAGGGTATATTATTTGACTTGTTAAGTAACAGGCACATGGGTTATAAATGAGCGTTTTTGTGATTTTTATATCTTCCAATAACTGTGTCAAATCAGCAATATAATTAGCCTATAATAAAAATACATTACATTAAGTTGCTTAACTAACTCATAAAACACGCATTCTGTTTGGATGCGTGCACGCAAGTATTCGGTTTAGACACAACTGCTTTTCATGTAACGTAGAACACACAGTAACGTTAACGTTCACTTGTTTTTACTATTCCTGAAAGACAGGAAAAGCACAGCTTCCTGAGATCTGCATGGCAAATAGCATGCTACAGATAGCGGTGTAGCTAACAAGCCAGGTTCACGCGTTAACGTTAGTTCTCACTAAGAGAAGTTCAGGTCTTACCAAACATCCCTTCAACAACCCCCAGAGGGTTATTAATCCAGTCATGAGTGGAAGGCATCATTGGCCAGTCACAAACGTCTAAAGAAAGAAAGATATCTCAAAGTAAACTCTATGTGAAAACCCTTTTTTAACTTTACCCATACACAAGACAGCAGAAGTGACGGCGGGAAAGTTACGTCACTAGGCGAAGAGCGTGGTCCGTTTGTTTAGTATACAGAGACCAACCGGAGGACGGGGATTGGCTGGATGTCTTGATTCAAATTTAATTTGAGGTTGGTGTTTACATTTTATATAAAAAAGTACTTTACATAAAATCACTGGTGTGTAAAATCAGCGTTTTTTTTTAAATATTAGCTTATTTGAAAATGTACAACAATATAGTCCAGTATTCTCTCTGGTCTGTAGATGGCAGGAGTGAGAGATAGGGTTTATTTTCCCACAACCAACGAGCATATATAGAGTATCAAGAATAGGATTAGAAAGCATACTGGAATATGGTGGCCAGATTTGTTCTCAGGGTTTAATTGTGGGAGTATCGTTCTTGTTCTTGATTATCTCTCAAATACTATATTCTGTTTGGTTTTAGGTACTTTGGAATTTGTTTCTCAAGATATGTGTGTGGTGTTTGTTCTTATGGTGTTTTGTTGCTGCTCTCTATTGCTGCTGGAACACAGGAATTTCCCCACTGTGGGATCAATAAAGTCCTAAAAACAGAAGGAATTTTGTTCAACTTCCTAAGAAGAGATTGACTGTAAACTGTAGGACATCGGTGGCTCCAGAAGATGGCAGTAATGCAACATTTTTGGCATTTAAACTTCAAGGGAGAAGAAGAAGAAGACGAATAGCCAGATGACCTGCGTGGTTTTAGTAGATCTATAAACAGTATGTGATACCGTCCTGCCGCCCGTTAAACTACAGTTGCCAATAGGTGATGCTTTAGCGATCAGTGCGATCTGTGTTGGCAGGGAACAAGCTGTCCGTACAACTGAGCGTGTACTGCGTGCCTGCCCCGATAGTGGCTACGTGTAATATTACGGGAAAATGGCAGATAGAAGGAATGCTAATGTTCTCAACACCGGTGCAAATTTACTGTTCAGCGCCGCTCCTGAGTTTAACTTCAATTTGCCTTTCATACCAGTGAGTCAGGCCACTGGTCCGGCGGTGTTGTCAGGAGGTGAGATGAAATGCCGACGGAGGAAACGTCTAAACATTAGTCATGTGAGCAGGCTAAGGAAGCTAGCTAGCTAGCTAACCAGTCTTATGCTGATAGTTGTTAAAAGAAAAGAAGAGATAAAGAAACTGTCTCCGATATCAGTCGTTTGTCAGGCAGGTTAGTCTATTTGACATTGATGTGTTTTGGTCAGTCTCCCCCCTGTCTTATCATGAAATTGATCTACAGTTATTTTGGGGTGGGGGTCGGGGGTCATTTAAAGCCCTTTATTAGACTTTGGGAAACTGTGTTGGACATTTTCTGGGTAAATATTGCAAGTGTTTGTGTGTTTATTGCAGAGTCATAAACACATGTGCTGCACTGTTCAATTTAAAGTTGATACTCTATTTTAATGTACTTTAGATGATTCCACTGATGTTGGAGAAGAAGACAGCTTTCTAGGCCAGACCTCAGGGAATGGACCGGCCCCCTCTACATTCAGCTATTTCTCCAGCCCTGTAACCAGCAGTGATCCTTTTGCGTCCATTGGGCAGTCACCATGCCCACTGCCACCCCTGTCAGCAGCTCCGACAACAACAGGCCCCGTTTCTTTTCCCAGCAGTGTCAGCATGGCTCCACCACCATCCATAGGCTTACAAATGAACCCTGCTCCTCCATCATTTGGCAGTGCAGTTTACCAGAGTCCTGTGGGACGTCACACTCCTCCACCCACCACAGTGACCCCACCTCCTCCCCAGATGCAGCCACAGAGTCATAACCCATACCGGCACACCCCCACGAGCAGCAGAGCCAGTCCTTATATTCCGGCTCCGGAGATCCTGCCACCAACACACACACCTCAGCAAAATCCCTATCCTTTCAGCTCTCCGCCACAAACATTCCCGCTGTCAGGACCCACGTTCACAAAGGTAGATATAAACTGATTAGTGACATCTGTGATTTGTGATACTTGATTAACTCATTTAGTTACTGAATTGACCAGCTACATGCCTCAAATGTAACCATTAATAATGAAGAGGAAGTGTATTATGATTTTTTTCTTCTCTCTTAAGCCGCCTCCCACTCAAGCACCTCCACCTCTATCCACCACTGCTGGACCGATAGTTCCCATGGGCCCCATGATGCCGATGAACTTCAATGTCTACGAACCCGTTCAGCCTCACTGGTTCTACTGCAAGCAAGTGGAGTCAAAGAGCGTCTGGCTTCCTTTCAGCATCATTGACTCCCTTCATCTAGACGAGACGTATAACTCAGGTCTGAGGACATACTGCACGTGCTAATTTTGAGCATCTGAAGTTTGGCTGTGTTGGTGCTCTTACACTGCAGAGAAACGATGACCTGCTCTTATGTTAATGTGGCCTATTTGTTCTTCCAGTTCAACCAGACCCAGAAAATGTGATTGTACGCACAGATGGAGGACGTTACGATGTGCAGCTCTATGACCGCGTGCGGACTGCGGTGTACTGGGAGGAGGAGGCTACAGAGGTCCGGCGCTGCAGCTGGTTCTACAAAGGGGATATGGATAGCCGCTTTGTCCCCTACTCTGAGGAGTTTAGTAACCAGCTGGAGGTCTGTCTCAATTCTGCATTTGACTAGAAACAGATGTTACAGAAATGTGTTGTATTGCTTTTTCCAGTCAGACATATTTATTTTTCATCAAGTTGTGGATCACATCTAATTACTGTATATACTTCTTTACACATAGGCAGAATATAAGAAAGCTGTGTCGACCAACCAGTGGCACCGTAGACTAGAGTTCCCATCAGGAGAAACCATTGTAATGCACAATCCAAAGGTAAACCTTTGTCTGATTAGTGTTAAGTGTTGATCTGTCACTTTGATTGTTGTGTGATGATGTAAATGCTCTCTTTGTAGGTGATTGTGCAGTTTCAGCCATCCTCCATGCCAGATGAGTGGGGCACAACTCAGGATGGGCAGACAAGGCCCAGAGTGGTGAAAAGAGGGATTGATGATGACCATGATGAAGTGCCTGATGGTAGACAAGCTCCTCTGTCCCCAAGTTAATTTAAACTAAGTGTAGGCACCTATGGAAACCCCCATCAAACTCTGCTTGTAATGCAGCATTTTAGACTCCTATGGAAAAACCTAACTCACTGATATAACAGGAAGCTCAGATAGTTTCATAGTACACTTAGAAAAATTGATTGTCAGGACCCTATAAAGTGAAAGGAGGTATTTTCAAAGACATTAGAGGAAGTACCAGCCATCACAATGTATTTTATGAGTGAAATTTAAGTCAGATTTAACTGAGATGCATTTTCATGTGTTTATAAATGTAATGCAGCTTCGTTAATTTGACACTTCAGATTTTAGGTTCATGTTAAGATGTAAACAGGGCAGTAAGGGACTGTGGAGATCAGTGAGGTTTGTAAAATTCAGCTTTTCCATCATATGCATTGTTTCCAGGTGAGTCCTCTAAGGTGGATCATCTTGTGTTCATGGTTCATGGGATCGGTCCTGTGTGTGACCTGAGGTTTAGGAGCGTGGTCGAGTGTGGTAAGTACCAGACAATCCAGCCAGTCGGCCATTGTTGGTGACATTATTTTGGAAGTAAACTGTATAAAACCTTGTGCTTTCAGTGGACGACTTCCGCAATGTGTCACTCAAGCTGTTGCTCAGTCACTTTAAGAAATCACTGGACGAGCACGCCATAGGCCGGGTGGAATTCCTCCCTGTCCAGTGGCACACGGCTCTGCATGGAGACGCCACAGGGGTGGACAGGTGAGCAGAGGCAGGTTTACACTGACTGTGGAAGTTCAGTGGAATGGAAGATCAGTTCTGACACAAAAGGAAGTCTGCTGGCACACACTTTTGATTGCAGTTATCAGCTGCTCTTTGGACTCCACCGGCAACCTAGCTGGCCACTGTTTCTCTCAAATAATAGGAATTAGAGCATTGGAGCTCTAGTGACACTAGTATATAGTAGTAGCAGGACAGTGTGGGATTTATACAAACTGTAAATAAATGGTGCGTGTGTGTGTGTGTGTGTGTAATGGTAATCGGAACAACGGTGTGACTCACTGATGCATTTAAATAGCTTTTGGACAACAGTGTCCAATATATCAGGTTTTGGCTTTACATTTCCGGTCTTTTTGTTGGGTTTGCTAACAATAAGAAAAATGTAGAACATCACCACCATCACCAATAGACTTTACTCATTATAGACTCACTGTTTCTCTTTGTAGGAGGATAAAGAAGATCACCTTGCCGAGCACTGGGCGTTTACGTCACTTTACAAATGAGACTTTGTTAGACGTGCTTTTCTACAACAGTCCCACTTACTGCCAGACCATCATGGACGCAGTTGCTTTAGAGATTAACAGACTTTATGCCCTCTTCATGAAGAGAAACCCAGACTACAGAGGATGCATATCACTGGCTGGACACAGTTTAGGTAATAAACCAGTTTATTATTTGCCTCAGCACCATTAGTTTATGTTTTTTCACTTAAATTGTCTTGTTTCTCTTATTTATTCTTTCAGGTTCCCTGATTCTCTTTGACCTGCTGTCAAATCAGAAGAATGGCTCTGCTCCACTGGCCATGCCAATCATGCCCACTGCTAATGGAGACCCCAAACAGGTCATACACCAGTTAATTACATTAATTGAAGATATGCAATAACATGATGGCCATTACTCTGCTGATCAGTTGAAAAACATCAAATTTAAACAAAATGCAGTATACAATTTTTTTCAATGAATACAATACATAATTGTAAATGCTGCTTCTAATATCAGGTGGCAGCCACGGTTACACAGGGAAATAATGCTGTCACGCCTCCAGCTGTGGAAGAGGAGCCCAAAGAAGATGGAGAGGAGTTTGAGGATCTTTCTGCTATGCTGGAACATCTGGGCCTGTCTGAGTACAAGAGTACTTTTGATTTGGAGAAGATTGACATTGAATCTTTTGTAAGAATAAAAGCTGCCTTTGCTTGCTATAATGGAATGGCTCTTTTTTTAATTTTTTACAAAAAATGAGTAATTACAATGGATTTGAGGTCTTAAAAAAAGTATTTTAAAAGTAAGACAATGTAAGAACAATAGGAAGTAACTTACTATCTGTTTTTTTAAGAGTGGTGGGTTTTCATTTTGTTTTTTTCTCACATTCTTTCAGCTTATGTGCACAATTGAGGATCTGAAAGAGATGGGAATCCCCCTGGGACCCAGGAAAAAGATTGCCAAGTTTGTCAAAGAAAGAGTGAATAAGCAGGTACCTTTCTTTCTCTCTTAAGTATCTGTGAGGAAATGGTGTTTGTGATGACTCACTAACACTCACTTTTTCTGTCCTGGTTGTGGTTTCATGTACACAGGCTGCACGCCAGGCAGCCCAGGAGCAGAAAGCGGAAGTCAAAGAGGTCAGTCAGGTCATGGCCTCACCACCAGCAGCTGAAGTTCTCCCTGTTCCTGCTGTCATCAAGCCTCCAGTGGGCAATACTGTCTCTTCAATTCACGTCAACTACAATTACTTTGAAGTTGGCACTGGACAGGTAGATCTGAATTCAGATAAAAAGAGCGTAAATGTTAACTGCTCTAAATTTGACTTGGTATCTAATGATAACTTTATCACTGCTTTATTCTGCAGGTGTCAGTGGTATACCACGCTCTGGACTTTGAGCCAGTAAATTTCTTTGCTTTGGGTTCTCCTATTGGCATGTTCTTGACAGTCCGAGGACTGGAGAGGATTGAAGAGACGTACCAGCTGCCCACGTGCAAGGGATTCTTCAATATTTACCATCCGGTATGTACCTCCTCCAGCCTGCGGAGCCTGAAAGGCTTACTGTTAATTAAGCCTGGTTTGCTCGTAGCATGGCTCTCTGCTTCTCTTGGAGAAATTTCTGATGCTGGTATTTCTGACCATTATCCCATCACATTTGAAATTAGGGTTCTCCCATTGGCATGCAGGTCTGTTCTTCCAGATCATCACCAGCTGATCTACTCTCTTCTTAATTCCACATGTTCTGCTATTTTAGATTCAGTTGCTCCTTTTAGGCACAAACCTGTCAAACTGAAATCGGAACCTTGGTTAAATGACACTACCCATGTTGTCAGGCAAGCTGTAGAATGCAAATGGAAAAAGGACAAATTACAGGTTATCACTTGGTATTCTGAGGAACAGTTTGTCAGCTTATCAGAGTGCTGTGAAAGCTGCTAAATCGTAGTATCTGTCTAGGGTCATTGAGAGTAGTAGCCATCATCCCACTGTGTTATTTAGCACCATTAACGCTCTTATTAACCCATGTTTCACTGACCTGACAGATGTGTCCTCAGCTACCCGTGATTACTGACAAAGTAGTAGTCAGACACAAATGCTCAGCGCAAGACACACACATTCTCCACCTCAGACCTTACTGAGGTGGTATAGCACCTGAAACCTTCTCACTGTCCACTGGATGTAGTTCCTGCGAAGCTGTTAAGAGGTTTTCAGTACTGTGGGGCCATGTCTCCGGTGTGTTTTTCAACAGCTGCCTTATCTTAAGAACTGTCCCATCTGTGGTTAAACAAGCTGTGGTGCTCCCGCATCTTAAGAAACATCACCTTGACTCCTCAGTTCATGCTAATTTCAGACCTTTTTCTCATTTGCTATTTTGTTTTTAAGTAGCTACAGTCTTACTTGGTAGACAGTTCTGCTTTTGAAAATTTTCAGCCATGCTTTAGATCTCAGCATAGCACTGAGTCAGCACTTTAAAAGTGTAAAATGATATCCTGCTCTCTGTTGACAAGGGTAATCCTGTTTTGTTGGTACTGCTGGACCTTTACCAAGCACCCCCACCCACCCATCCACACACAGACATGCACACATAAACATAAGTCATTTCCCCTTTTACCCATATTTTTCACATATTAGTTGCACTATGAAAATATAAAATAATTGTCTTAAAATATAATCAGTACTTTATCAATTACTTTTTTTTAGTTGGACCCAGTGGCATACAGGATTGAGCCCATGATAATACCAGACTTGGAGCTGAAACCCGTTTTGATCCCTCATCACAAAGGGAGGAAGAGGCTTCATCTGGGTACAGCACTTGCTCATTATTGTCTCTTAAATTTCTGCTTTCATCACACTAAACTGGTTCACTGTTGTCATTAGTTTCATATGTTTGATAAAGCTACAAGTAAATTTAAGTACAAGTCAAAACAGTCTAAATGCTGACACCAGCCTAACACGAGTCGGTGCCTAGTTGTGTCCTTGTTGTCTAGTTGTGTACACAGATGGATTACTGGATCTGTCTGTGTTTCAGAGCTGAAGGAGAGTCTCTCCAGGATGGGCTCAGACCTGAAGCATGGTTTTATCAGCTCCTTGAAGACCGCCTGGCAGACACTCAACGAGTTTGCCCGTGCTCACACCTCAACTGCTCAGCTTCAGGCTGAGCTTGCCATCGTGGCCAATCAGATCGAAGAGCAGGAGAAGCAAGTGGAAGAAGGTGCGTTACTCTTGATTTGTGACTCTGTAGCCACACTCTTTATGTATTGTATGAGATTAATAACCTAATTCTGGTTTGTCACAGCACAAAAGATCCCAGAGAGCCCTGAGCCACAAAAAGAGGAGGAGCCTCAGGTGAAGATCGGGCTGTTGAATGGCGGGAATCGCATCGACTACGTCTTGCAGGAGAAACCTATCGAAAGTTTCAATGAGTACCTGTTTGCCCTCCAGAGTCATCTCTGCTACTGGTACAGCTGATTTTATTTCACTCAGTCTTTCTACCATTGCACATTAGCAGCAGTTCAAATTCAGCTCTTCTGTTAATTTCCTGTTGCAACTAGAGCTGAAACAATGAGTCAGTCCATCAGCAGCGTACAGTATTTGACAGCTGCTACTTTGGAGATTGATTGTTTTCAATCAAAAATGCCCAAATTTTGATGGACCCAGGTTCTCAAATGTAAGAAATTGCCATCTGTCTTTGTCTTACTTTAGAGTAATTAAAATATATTTGAGCTTTAATGTGCTGCTGACAAAAAAACATTTCAAGACGTCTGTGTGGGCTTTGGGAAACTGTGATGGGCACTATTCACTGTTTCCTATTGGTTCCTTGAAGCTCTTAATTGCAACATTTCAGGACAAATTATTGCTGCATTTGAACTACTGGTCACACTTACTACAAACAACTTAGGTTGTTTAAAAAAATCACAACATAGTAACAAATATTATTTCACTGCTGATTTTCTGGATCTTTTTCAGTGAGTCTGATGGGTTTTTTTTTTTTTTTTTTTTTTTTTTTTTTTTTTTTTTTTTTTTTTTTTTTTTTTTTTTTTTTACTATAAGGCCTTTTAAACAGAAGACATTTTGATTTGTTACAGTAGGAAAAGCACTGGTGCAAATAATTAAATTCCTGATGGCTGAATTCCATTTAGCCGCTTCAGTTTCAGGATCCAGTTATTGTGCATCGTGACTCACTCCGACAAAGTATCTTCTGCAAATAAGGCCTGTGTCTTTTACATCTCTTGTTTTGTTTTTGTTTTTTTAGGCAATCTGAAGACACGGCTCTGCTACTTCTCAAAGAGATCTATAAGACCATGGGGATCCATCCAGAACAGATAGCACATTAACGTTGTTTCTGAGATGAAAGTAAGCCTGTCCAAAATGTTCACATTTGGTTTATTTCATGCAAGTTCTCCTGGATTTTTTTCTTTTATTTTCTGTTTATGTAGTTGATTGTATGCAGATGAATAATACAATTGTATTATTCCATTTGTCTTAAATTAAGAAACATGCAGTTTAGCTAGAAGATTCAGACACTTGACAAGTTTGATATAAAATTTTTTATAGTGTAAATTACAGAACTAGTCAAGTTTACCGAAAATATGTATCATTGAATGAAATGTTAACAGCAGAAATGACACAGCAGCAGTTAATGCAGCATTTTGAAGTTTTATTTCATGGCCAAAAGTCCAGAATAAATCATTTCCTTTCACAAGTTGTACTGTATTGTATGGTGGTGTACTGCTGAGAGGAAGACATAGAACACTTCTCCTGCAGGGTGAGGAGTACCAAAAGGTGTAATATTTGCAAAAACATTGGTTAAAAATAATTACAGTTCAGGATTAGATGCAAGAATAACCTGCTGTCATTGTGAGAAAAATAAAGCACTTCTTAACCTGCGCTATGTTTAAGGTTTTGACAGTTGTACTCATTAACATGACACCTCTAAATTCTGACTGAACTCGTCAGCTGTAACATCTTCTCATTATGAGACGGAATAATATTAACAAACCTACAGCTTCAAACATTTTCAAAACAATCTCTTCAACATTTCATTTTACTTAAGCAAGTAGGCACATACAACAAAAGTATTCAACTCACATGTATGAAAGAGGAAGATTAGAAAAGTATTTACAAGAGCGGCTGTTAACATTCAGTCTCAGTCGTAGTGCTGAGTGATTTTCACTAGCCGTAAATGACAGATCTTTGTTATTTAAACAATAACTCTGGTCATTGGAAACCTAATATCATAGTGCTGCATGCTATAAGCAGAGCTTTGCTCCAGGTCCTAAGTATTTATTGATCAACATGCCTCTGTGCTAAACTGATCAAGTCGAAGTAGTCATGAGCAAAGGAACATTATGACCATCACCGGCACAAGTGATCGTCACATAAAACCTAAACAGGTCCCCTTATTCAACCGCTACAGAAGAGTATATCTCCACATACAACTACTAATATACTGTATAAAGTGAAAGACTAAACTGCTTTAATCAAAGCACAAAGCTGAGAATCAGTACAAAAGTTTCTTGACCTCCATTTCTTTAACTTTCATTTTGAGAAAGTGCAGCAACATTTTGTTCCTTTTGTCAACAGTTACGTTTTACAATTAAGACATTAACCTTTCGTTACAAAGTATAACCAAACACTGATAGCTGCTTGTATTTGAGCTTGCCTGATACCTTGCAGAAATCAGTTGAATTCCTCTGACTGCAGCGAAAAGTGGTGGACATGGTAAAGAAATCAGATGCAAGTCATGTTGAGTGTTTGAAGCAGGCAGAATGGCTTAATAAGAAGTTTGTTTCCCAAGTTAATAACTGCATACTGAAATTATTTCAATACATCAACTACAATGTCAACCTAAATCCAAAAGATATAGTACTTGTTGTGGAAGTTTTCCTTCAGCGGGTTAAATATTACTAATTTGATCACTGACTTGTGTTTGATACTACTGTAGCTCTTCTATAAGAGTTGTACCATGTGAAGTTTCACATTTATCGGTGTTCTTTTTTTATACATTCATTTTGTCTACAGCTGTGCGGTGAAATATAGGAGGATCCATGTAAACGTCTTTGCTGTAGTGTGTTAATACTGTCAGTACCTCACAGTCCGAGTGTATTGGAATGATGTCAGGCACAAACGATTTCTCACTCCTCTGTTTTGCTCTGAGTCTTGAAAGCCTGCTTGCGTAGGTGAGCCTCAATCTCCTCACGGAAAACCAGCATGCCCAGGTGAGAGTGGGAGGCCTCGTTCATGGCTTTAGACTGGATGCACATACGGTACTGCTCCGGCGTCAGCTCATCTGCACACTGCTTCTCATGCCACAGGTGGAAGAGACCCGACACTGGTGTTCGGATCACTATCAGATCGCTCCGAAGATACTTCCTGTACAAGTGGACGTCTTCTACACCCCAACCTTTGACTTCAAGATCAAACCCCCCTGGGAGAAGTGTATCAGTTTGTATAATGTTAAGCCAGTGTTAACGGTTGTTTATGAACAAATAAAACTGTCATCATATCGATTCTTACCAATATTCAGGAAATCTGAGCGATACTGGCAAGTCATTCCAAAGCCAAAATCTCTCCAGAACCCAGCATCTTTTTTGTGAATCTAATTTAAAAGAAATATTTAATAATTAGCATCTGCAAAAACACCACACCACATAAACAATCTAAGAATGTATTTTCAGTTCTCACTAGTTGGAGTTCAACAGGTGGAGCCAGCTCCAAATTTCCATAGACTATGGCAGGATTGTACAGACTGAACACCACCGGATAAAAGACCTTCTTGTCTACAAAACACAATCAAATACAATATAATATGTTTAGTGACACTCAACCTGTAAACAAAAAGCTAAAAAAAGACTTAATAGAATGGATCTGAACAATAAAACCTACTTGGAGAGGTGTGGAGACGACAGGTGTTGAGAAACTCCAGTGTAAAATGGATGTCAACGTCACAGAAGAACATTAAGACGTTGCCCTTATTCCAGGCATGGGCTCCAATATCCAGACCCCGACCTCGGGAAAACTCTTCATCCACAGGGATCAGAGTGTAATTAGAGAAGCTCTCCTCACTGAAAAACAACAGATGCACTAGGTTTAATTTCCAATGACACACAAAACTAGTACAAGCATAAAACCATTTTTTTCTCTGCAAAAGCACAAACCTTGACATTTTTTCCAACGATAACTTCACCTCTTGAAGGCCTTCCTGCCCAAAATAAACCACTGTGAGATGTATTCTTCTGTCCTGCTGTATGCACACCTCCCTGAAAACATTTATATACATTATGCATTTTCCAAATTAAATACAAGAACACACTGTGAGATTGTATCTTACTGCAAAACAATAATGACAACCAGGCCAACATGTCTACTGTATGCAAATGTGACCTGAATATGCTAGGTTATTTGTAGCAGGTGTCTGATTCATCCTCACCTGAAGTTGTGTAAGAACTGTAAGAAAGTTTCTACTCTGCCTGCCAGTGGCACAATGATGTTGATAATCAGTCCTGATGTTTCTACAGATGTGCTCCTGACTTTCATTAAGGGACCAAAAGGCCTGAAGAGCGTGACATGGCGGAAGCTGCTGGCATCCTCTTTGGCAAAGAACAGTTCGTAAAGCGTCCCTTTGTCTCGCTCTGTCCTGTACAGTCCTGCCAAATAAAAGTACATGAAAACAAAATTACAATGAAAAAAAATATATCCCAGTCATCAACCACTGGTCTGTAGTCAGGTAGTGTCAGTCTTACCCTCAGTAAAGTGACCCTCTGTATACATTTGTCTCTGCATTGGCATGTCGTCCTCCACGCCATCCTCCTCATCAGGGTTGTTAATGATGTCCAGTGCGGCCTCAATGACTTCCACCAGCTCGTCCCTGCGGTCTTTGCGGACAGGTTTCTCCTCTGGGTGCCGCGTCAGCCCCATCTCTAGCTGATACACCTTGGACGAGGTGAAACTCTCAAAGGGCACCAGAGCATACTCACTGGGTAGACGTGCCCCTGTGTTGACCTCTGCCTTGTCAATTTGAGAATGCAGGTACTCCAGCAGATCTCCTGGCTCTTGGTCTTTAGTCTCAGCCAGGCCCTGCACCCCTGGGAGCTCCTTCTTTTCTTGCAGGATCTTCAACTTCTCACTCACTTCCTGCAGCTCCTGCTTGAGCTGGGCAATCTGCCTCTTGAGACTGGCGGCACGGTTTAGGTGGCGCTCTTCCTGTTCCTGGAGCAGAGCCTGGTAATACTCCTTCCCATAGGTCTCTCCTGCTGGGCCGGGGGGGACCATACTGACATCTCCTGGAGGGGTGCACTCCAGCAGGTATGCGAACAGCAGCAGCACCAGCAGCAGGAAGAGGCCCAGAAAGAGCCAGCGTACCCGGCCCTGGAGTGGCAACCCCCGCCTGGGCATCACACTCGCATGCAAGCTACAGCTGGGAGGTCTGCATTTCCCTTCCCCTCCAATCACATAATTTGCAGTATGCTTCTGAACATCATCTTAAAGATTTCAAAGGTCTTTTATGTCATTTTACTGTGAGGGTCTTGTTTCTCGGCTCCAGTGTATCAGTGTCTTCATACATTTATCCTGTGCAAGTCCATGCAACAATGACCTAAGAACACAAAAATCCACAAGGCAAAAACTATATAACATTTATTATATAGATAAATGTTCTGGTTCAGATGAAAACAATGAAGATTAGCAAACAACACCTGATAAAACAACATTGTGTTACTACTCTGTCAACCTTAGTTAAAACTTGCCAGTGACCATTTTCATTCACAGTCAAAGAATTCAATATTTTTCTGTAACAGTATGTTCAGTGTGTCCAACTTCAGACAATGTTTTATATATCAAAGATTAAATCTGAACAAAGAGGGACAAGCCAACCTATCTACAACTGTACTGTGCTGGCTAGTATACGGCAGCTAGCTGTCAGCAAACAGCACAGCTCAAATCCAGCCAGCTGCTGAAGACAAACTTCCAGTAAAACCTCTTTATTTCAAAATAAAAGCCGGACACTCTCGAGAATACAATAAGCTGCAAAACGGCAAAGGGTACCTTGTGTTGTGAAATAATGCAACATGAGGACAACAACCACAACATAAAACAACCACAGTATTAAAGGTTGTTTTTCTGATAATCTTGTGACTGTGTTTTAATCACTTCTTCATTTCTAACGCCAGGCAGAACATCCTCGGGTTCTGGCCTTGTAGAACTTTAATAACCTCATCTTGTCCACCACATACCAAGCACACTTTGTTTCTTGAAGGTCACACAGTCAAACAACATAACATTGTCTCAAGACAGCTATAATGAAAACCAGCAGGGCACTGCCCAAAGAGTCAGAGCTTAAAATAAATAAATAAATAAATACTAGTCTGCTCATTCAAAAACCTACAGTAATCATCACAAAGAAATTGTAGCACAGTGGCAAAAGTAAATACACATAAGAACAAACGAACAAATAAACAAAAACAATTCTTCTACTGTGCAGCACTATCTTGGTGCCATAGTCTGTTTCTTGAAAGTAAGAGTTTAATGCTACACAACACCATAATCCTGCTATTTGTTATTAACCTGCAAAAGACCAGATGCAAATACTTAATAAAACATGACTTCAGACAATGTGTTCACAACTAAAATGAAAATATTTAACAATCAGCCATTCTGGTCACTAGGTTTTCAACCAGTCAAAAACAAGGAACTACTGCATGTGTGGCTACAGTTTTGTGCAAAATTTAACACAGCCTCATCACACCTTAAAAAGGGGAAGTCATATTTTATAAGATGACTAAATAGTGTGGTCACACAAACGGAGAATGAAAAAAATTTGACAGAGAGTAAAATTCAGTAGAGTACAATTAAATAAAGAGAGCACAACATGTATCAGGTCTGTAACTCATGGAACTGCTCACTCAACATACAACTTGGTTTGTGTGTAAGGGAAACCGACATAACACTCTTACTTGTCACAACTTTCACATAATAGACGATGCCTCAATCACACTCTGCATTTCGTGTAGATATATTTAGAAAATCTAAACCGGATATTGACACGGTTCTACTGCTAGCTTAGCGATCTTCGGAGCTTCACTACGCTTTCATGTTATTTTATAGCAGTTGGAAAGCTGCTAATCCGTTACAGTAGATGAAAAAACAACACCCTTACCTACTCCTGAGTTTGTGCAGTCATCTCCGTGCTTATAGCGGTGAGGTCTAGTAGAAATGCAGCAGTAACTAACAACCTGTGTTACAGACTGCCACGGAGCAAAGAGAAAAGAGTGGCTCGTAGTCTACTTCCGGTCAACAAGTAACCAATGGGAGCTTTGGGAGGGAATGTCATCATCAAACACGCTGAAAATCCCGGTTCATAACAATAATAATAATATTTATTATTATTAAATTTTTTATTTTTTCATCACCTTCACAATAATTTAATTGCTCACCCCCAGATATTTTTTCTTTCTTTTACTTACTAGTTTTTCTGCCCTGTTTTGTATTCTCTGTCTTATCTGTGAAGATTCGCTAGCTCACGGTGAGTTGAATTACCACTGGATGGAGCTACAGTTCTTGTTTAATGTGAAACTGCGGGGTCTCTATAGCTATTACTATTTAACATAAAGTAAAAAAAAAAAGGAAATGTTCCCATGAGGTTGTATTTTAGTCATTCAGTCGTTTCCTTTATTAATCCCCATTAAGGGTTAACCAATCGCAGCAGCTTCTTTTTTGAGGAAAAGACCGAGACACCATGGACAGATTACCGCTCTGTCACGGATCTATTTTAAACAATAGTCTAAACACATAATCTTTCTTTTTTTCCCCTGACAGATAATGTTATTGTGGATCAGTCACAAAGAAGTCAACCAGATCATACAGAGCACTGAAAACAAGGGGGAGATTTACATTTATGCTGTTGCAGGCACATCAGTATTATAGAGCACTGCCAAACTCCGGATAAAGGCAGAGATGAACGAGGAAGGAGTAGAGGGTAAAATGTCTTAACATATATATTTTAATTTTGTAAAAATCCTACAATCCTATAACCAATATATCATCACAGTAGTGCCCCTAATCAATCGAAGACTTTTTATAGAGTACCTCATCTTAGCTATTATGACATAATAAAGTACACAGGTTACCAAAATTTATGCTTAAATTAGGCATTACAGTGCACCACAAATCTCTACCACTATAACTTGAAAAATTTAAACCTTTGTCAGCTTCTCAATATCAGATTTTTGTTTTCTGCCAAAACCAGAGTGGAGTCAAACTGAGTCTAGAAAAGGCACATAAAATTTGCATTGTTATGCAATGTTAAACATTTACACATGAAATGGCTTTTGTAGAAAAATGCTTCTTGCGTCACTCCTACAAATATTTAATAACAATTTTAAAACAAACATTTCTGGTATACTGAGGCTAATATTGTACTGTAATAAAAATTATAATTCACGTGAGCCACCAAGGATAGGTTGCATTTAATGCATTATTAAAGCTAATCAGCTTACTATTTATGTTCAGACATGAGGTGAACAGACAAACTGCATATTTTTGATGTTTATTATTAACTGAAACAATCAAATATTAACACAATGATAACACTCATTAGTTTACATAATCATACTTTTACACAGAGATTGCCATTACAATGAATCAAAAAAAAAAATCAACTGTAGTCTGACACAGGACATGGTCACATGTCCTTACACTGGAGTAGTAGTAATATTTTTCATGTAAAAATAACAAGAACAAAAGCAAGTAAAGCATTCACTGAACACGTCTGTGGTACTTTTCTTTGGCAAGAACAGTTCTGAAACATTTTCTAGGAGAAACACAAAATGGATCTTTGATGTTTTGAGAAGCACAGTCCTTTAAAGTAGAAACTTTACATTTTCTTAACAAGTTCAGCATTTTGTCTTTGTCCACTCAATCCCGGCTGTCTACAACAGGTGATGGTAAAGACGTCCCCTTTAATTCCTGGGCTGGAACAAGATCTTCACAGTCGCACATTAATAATTGGAGGCTATTGTAGAAGAGGCACAGGCACTTAAAAGACGTTGACATTGACTAGCATACATTCTGGTACAATAGTCATGCAGTGATACAACTTGGCCAATATGACCCTTGAGGTAATAATTAACATACTGAAGTGCTGAATGAAGCATGGTCTATGTTGATCCAGCCAGTTTTACAGCAACAGACCCTGGTTTTAAATGCGGACTATCGGTGCAACAGTAATAAAAGGGAACCAACTTTAGCATCAGATTGTATATGTACAGTCTTATAGAAATATACACATCTACCAATTAGTCATCTTTTCTACATTGTTGGTTTGTCTTTAGCTATCAAGCGTGTCCACAGCTTTTGCGGGTGAAGGCAAAGCCATCCAGTTTGCATAAACACTATCATTGGCATATCTTGTAAAGACTGGGTTAGTGGCATCATGTCTGTTGAGCGGTACCGGGCTCTTCTCAGGCCAGTTCGGGTATGACATGCCTAAAAACGAGAACATATCATTTTTCTGCACTCAGTGAAAGATAAAAAGTGTGCAGACAGTAAGGCTCTTAAATCAAACTCTATAGTGCCTATCTCCTAAACAATTCCTTATTTGATTCTCAGAGGTATTAAATTATGGCTTCGTATATGCTACATAAAAAAAAAAGATAACATATTTTTATGTTTTTGTAATATACCAAGGTTACAATGTACATGACCTATGACTGCCTCCCTGTAACTGCTCAGAAAAGTAACTGGACAACAACTACAGTAAGTAGCTTATTATGATATTTATTTTTAGTCAGTGTCACTTGAGAGCTGTGTTCAAAAGCCTTACTGTTTCTCTATTCAGCATTGTGGAATCATTATAGATTAAGTGCTAATATACAATAGAAAGTCAGGAAATTTAAGACAATCTGGAATCCAAACCACAGTGAGTGATTGATTCTGCAGGGACCTGTTTCAAATGTTACACACTGTTCCTTCCAATGCAAACAAATAATGAAATAACAATGGAAGTGTGATGAATAGAAAAAAAAAAAACTATGTACAAATTAAATGCAGATGAAGCATGAGTATGAGAGGTGTCATATAAATTAGAAGGAAGAATATATTCAGTATTTACAAATGTAATATTTTTGGTCAGCATTCATGTACATTAGAAGCAGGTCCAAATAAAACAAAAAGAGTCAAGACACAAGATCTTTTTTTCACTAAGCCTCTCATTTACGATGAAATGGGAGATATGTCAGCATGAATCAGCACAAGGCATGCCTATATCACAGTCACACACACTTGACTACGGAAAAGCCAATCACAACTTGCCAAAAAAGAGAGCTTGTGTTGTGTGTCCTGTTTCTAAAATCTAGTAAATGCATGGGAGATTCTACCATAGAGCTTGTTTTCAATCCATGTGGAGGGGAGGGTTCGAGGGAGAGGGGCGTTATTACAGTCCACTAATGGTGTGTCCTCTTCAGAGAGGGCATCGTCGTACAGTAGGGCATCGGCTGGCGTGGACGCCGCCAGGTCCAGGTAATCCTGACAAGAGCAGATGAGGGTGTGATTAGACTGATTAAGGAGGAGAGGAGTCACAACACGTCAAGGCTGAGTGTGCTAAAGGTCAGACTCTTACATTGACTGCAAGAACCTGCAGGCATATGTGAAAAAAACTTTTCATTACACCCAGTGACTTGCCCATTGTCTCTTTTCCTTCTCTTTTGGATAAAAGTGAAGAACTACTGTAAGATGCTGTATTCTGGGATGTCAAATGCTCAATATTTAGCCTAACAATAGCAGCAAGGGCTGGACTGGTATGCTTTGTGATTATGTTGTCCAAGAGCACATTTTAGGATTGCTCTTCAAACACAAATTACGGTATCTCAAGTGTTTGGGGAGGAGTGACAGCTCTTTGAGTGAAGCAGGCACAACATGTGGTTGTGTGTATGTGACTCTAAACAGTGAGCCAACAGCACATGCTGTCCAGCAGAAATGATATGCTGCTCATTCTGGGCTCAATACAAAGCCAAAAGGAGCGGAAAGCTAAAAACTCCAACTGCTAACTGTCAGATCTCAATAATACAACACCGTAGGTTTGTCAAAAATGTGCCAGTAATGCACAGAAAAAGGCTGATTAATAACCTCCACTTAAATATTTCCTGTGGAAGGATATGAATAACTTATTATAATATACTGTATAGCTTCACCATACCCGACTTTTCACCATCATCTTTTCCAGTTCTTTGCTGATGTCTGAGAATGTTGGCCTCTTGTCTGGTTCTTGTTTCCAGCATCGAAGCATGAGGTTATACCTGCAGTTGCACAGTGTGTAAAGTAAGCGTAATTTAATCCTCCCAACAGAGTCATTTTCTGCTACTGACTGTCTAAATGTGCCGGAGTGGAAGGTACAGCACTGAGTACAAATGAGGACATGCTGTAGAGTAATAGAGTGGAACTCACATTTCTTCAGAGCAGTTCTCTGGTCTCTCCATCCTGTAGCCAGTCTTCAGGAGGTTAAAGAGACGTTCAGGAGCGATACCTGGGTATGGATTTCCTCCCAGGGTCACTATTTCCCACAACAGTACGCCAAAGGACCAGCTGGAAGAAAACAAACAAGCTCATTAGAACATTTTTAACCTATGTATTAGATTTGGATGAGATCAATACCACTCTAGTGTCTGTCTGCTAAGAAGCTACAGCCAGGAGCCATTTAGCTTAGCTTAGCTTAGCTTAGCATAAAGGCTGGAAACAGGGGAAAACAGAAAACCAGGCTCTGCTTGAAAGTAATATAATCTAAGGATACCTCTAATGATCATTAATTAATGTTATTTCTAGTTTGTTTAAACCACACAAGTGTAAAACGAACTGATTCCCCCTTAAAATGAATAAGTATATTTCCCATTATGTCAGAGTGTTCCTGTTAAATGATGATTATACTCACACGTCACTTTGTGTAGTGTAAATGTGATCAAACAAAGATTCTATTGCCATCCATTTAACAGGTATACGGCCCTGAAAAACAGCCAAATATATATATATATATTTTAATTTAAAGGATTGCTGTAGATATACTAAACATTCTTATTTATTTAAATTATTTATTTGTTTTTACCTTGCTCCTCTTAACGTAAGAGTCCTCTTCATACACATCTCTGGAAAGGCCAAAGTCTGAGATCTTCATCTTCCGTCCTTCAGCGACGAGCACATTTCGCGCTGCAAGGTCCCTGTGAACAAGCTGTTGGACCAAAGTGCTCATTTAAAGGACCTTTCAGTGCTTGCACAACTAAATGACATTTTAACTGCTCACAGTACACTCATGTCAAAGTGTCTTCGATCTTTCCTCTTCAACTTATTTTTTTAACTTCAAGTCCTTTCAGTGGTTGAGTTTATACTATTTCAAGTTCACCCAGTGTTTAGACTTAAATGATCACTTCATTCAGCCCATACATTTAACCTACAGCTTAAACTTCTTTTAGCACTTTAATTTGGATGTTATTTCAGCTTTTTTTTAGTATTTGTATTTCAACCATATTTGCTTCAATATTTCAACTACAGTATGTCAAATGTTTTTACCGTATCATTTCAGTAGCAAACACAGACACTGTACTTCAGTTTTTCTGCATTTCCTTCAGAAAATATAACCTTTTAATTTGTCAAATACCTTCATCTCAGCCAGATACTGCATGCCTCTGGAGATCTGCCATGCAAAGGAGATCAGGTCACCCATGGTGAGTGCCCTGTCATCTGGGTTCTCCAGGTAGCTGGAGTTTCGGTTGGCTTCTCTGCCCATGTAGCTTGGGCCAACTTTCCGACTCTCACGCAGAAAGTTACGGAGCGACCCATACTTGGCATATTCCACAATCAGATACAATGGTCCTATTCAGAGAAATGCAGCAATTAGACTCCATGTGCAACACACATGCCCCGAGAAAGCAGAGCAAGAGGACTGAGGTCTTACCTTCCTGGCTGCATGCTCCATACATCTTTATGACATGTGGATGGTTGACTTGTTTCAGTAAAGTGAATTCTGACAACAGGTCACGCAGCTCACTGTGCGAGGCGTTTTCTGTTATGGAGGAAGAGCGAGGATTGTAACGATGAAACCATTCATCTTTACAGATGTTCACTCCTCATATATCACCATTACTTCCAGGCTTGTCTGCTCTTTTCCTGGCTTGTCTTACCTTTAAGCATTTTCACAGCCACAGTGGTGTAGCCTGCTTTTCCCTTCAGCCTGAAAGCTGTTGCCTTAACAACTTTTCCAAACTCTCCTTCTCCTAACGTCTTGCCAAGTACAAGGTTTTTACGAGGAAACTCCCACTTTGGATCCTCCTGTTGAAACAACATAGTGGCATTGCTGACTTCTCAATACAGAGGATAAAGAAAGTTGGATTCAGGATAAAAGAAGCAGTTTACAGGTATTTTAAAGGTGTCAGTCTCGATGGATTCCTGCGAGCCCCGGCGTACGTTATTAGCAGGGAAGCTGATGGGATAGGCCTGAGCTGGCCGGCGGAAAGTCATTTCAGCAGAAGCGATCGGAGGCTTGGGCGAGTTCTTGTGGTACCGATGGATGAAGTATGAGGACAGGAGGATAGAGACAACAAAGGAGAGGAGCAGAGCTGTGGCAATGATGGTCTTACACATGTCGTCACATATCGCCTCTGTAGGAGAGGATGTTGCAGAATGTTGTTATTTTTCACAGGAGGGCTATCAATTTCTGGTTCATTATTGAGATGACATGACAAAAGACCTTGTGGAGACTTTATTAACAAGAGCTTGATGTGATTAATGACAGCTCACCCTCAACTCCTTCCTTTTCACAGAAGCATTTCTCAGAGTAGCAGTAGCAGGTTCCATAGCAAGCCTTAATCCCACCCCTCACACCTCGTTCATGACCTCCGATAACAGGTTCTCCTTCAGAGGTAAAACAAATGTCAACATAAAAACAGTCAAAAATGATCTTATTTATAGATCTACATGTTAAACAAAATGCACTTTTACATAGAATTTGTGCAGAACAATCATACTTGTACAATCTTGTGGGCATATTGATATATCTTTGCTTTCCACTGCATCACAAAAGCTATCTGGGCATGTCCGCAGGTCAGGAGAGCAGGTCGAATAATTTTCAGTTATTCCTGAAATATGAACACAAAAGTGAGAAAAGGGTAAGAGGGTAAACATAACCAAATTACAAACAAATGCACATATACAGTATATACAGTATATATGTAGATAATCTGCATTATTATCAAAAAACAAACTTCTAGGTTTGGTTAGCTTGTCTTGATGTAAGTCTGAAATTAAGTCATTAAAGGTGTAAAACAGCAGCCTTTTAAATAAGTGCACTGTAGTGACTTGCTCTTGCCACCATTTGAAGTTGATAGTGCTTGTATTTATCAAAATTCAAACCACATTTTCCATGATTCTTTTTCCTTGCCTTTGCAAAAAGGATGTAACCATAGCATGGATCTGGGCCTTTACCACCACTGAGGAAAACATGTTATCAGTCATGGTCTCATTTGGTTCTAGTTAAACTACTTCAAGGTCTCATAATTAATATGGACATAATTCGGTGAAAAACACAGATTTTATTTGTTTATCATAATTAATTGAATGAAATGTACCTTTCTCTGTGCCTTGCCTCCACTGGCACCTTCCTGTTGTCGCCCCCAGGCCTTGGACAGACTCACAGTCTCCTCGTTGTCTATTCAACGCACAAGATGGGAACTGCTGGCTCTCCTGATTGGCCTTGTTTGCTGCATGCAACAGAGCCAAAAACACAGATAACCAAATCTTTAAAAGACAATAGAGAGAAGGAAAAACTGTAGAAAAGAATTTGTACAAGTTCCTACAGTGGTGCTGAGATATAGGAAGTGAAACACAAACTGTCTCCTAAATATCAGCAAGTAATCACTGTATGGAGATAAGAGTGAACAAACTATTCAAAGATCTTTTGATTCTAAACATGAGAGGAGTGTTTACTAATTAAAGATGGCTAATGATTTGCAGAGATTAGATTATGATGTGAAAAATTAAACCAACTTGCGTACAACTCTTACAGTCTCACCTTCACCATCTAGTAGGATGTGGATCTGTGTGCTGGCCTCCAGCTGTGTGTTCTCCTCCTTAGCTACAACAAGGTACTGCAGGTCCTGGCACTCCAGCCTGTGCAGAGTCTGTGAGTCATTCACATAAAGCAGTCCCCACATCTCATCAGGGGCCTGGGTGATGCTCATGGCTGCGTAGCAGGACTGCACATCAGCAGACATGTTCTTATCTGGCACCTCGAGCCGGTATGTGACAGAGAAGCCATCGAACTGCAGACAGTTTTCCACACAGACTCGTCCAACCTTAGAGGAATGGAAGAAGAGAGTGAAACATCTGAATAACACATGTAGGTAATTTAGGTCGAAGGGAGACATGATACAAACACCTCTTTGAACTGCTGTGTTACAGAGACACAATTTTGACTGAGCCAGCAGGTGGCAGTTTCTCAGTGAGTCAGCACACTAATATTTTTATGATGGTAAAATGGCTACAGTTTCCATATAATGAATAGAATGAACACAGTTTATAACATTCCAGAATGGGATGGGCCATTAAATCATTGCAGCCTAAACTTTGATGCATTTTGCAATTCTGGAAACTTAAATGACATCAGTGCAGGTATTGCACTGTAATCATTGCACATACATTACTACACTCTCAGAAATGAAAATGCTGTCTTGGTCCCATTAAATGCGATTACCAAGCAAGCAGCCATTTTGAAACGTCAGAACTCCTGTTGTGATGGACACACCCTCCACAATTAAGACACTACTAGAAAGGCCAGGATATCATGTACTGCATGGTTACTTAAATGCAGAAGAGAGCTGCATGTCCCAGAGGATACAAATTAATTCCTGGATCTCAGGAGGTTCTAAACTTGTGTCTAGTGACAAGAGACAATTTTTAACTAAAAGTACTGCAACTCTGGAAGATTCCCCCTTAATCTATATGAGTAATGGAGCCTCATTATAAGCTATGCCTGTGTAACATTTCTACACAGATGAGGTTGTAGAGTACCAACTCTGTTTACAAGCAAGGGCCCAGTCTCAGAAACAAGCTGGTTTGAGCAAATGTTGCCCCCAACCCCACACAGATATTTCTAGTCCTACTACAAGACAAATCTGTCCCAGTGTGCCCAATGTAACAATATGAATCAAACAAAAAAAATTGTTGGTAAACCTGCCAGAAGCCTAAACAGTGCATTAGTGAGCAAACACTAGAATGTCATTTTTTGGGGCATTGAATTGACCCCCTCTTTCAACTGGGCAACTCTGATATAAACTTTGATAGAGGGAACAGCTTTTTTGGAGTCATATCTTTGACACTCTGCAATCTAGGCTACTTAATGACAGGAAGACCACATGCTCTGTGTGTATTTGGCATGTGTTATACTCTGAAGGAAGTGTGCAGATGTTCTGTCCTTTCTTATGCCCATCAGTTAGACTGAGAAACAATGTTTATTATTGCTTTTGAAAATGTCTACCTAATCTTTAAGCCAGCTGCGGATAGGGAATAATGGATTTGTATGGTAAGTAGTCATGTGTACCTGTGCATAAACAGAAGCTCTGCGTGTTACTGTGAACACATGTGTAATGTTGGCAAAGTGGATGTGGACCGGTAAGATGGTAACATTGAAGTGCAGCAACACTGTTCTCTCTAGGCCAGGATAGGTGGTGTCATTGACTTGGTAGTCCAGCTGCACGGTGCAGCTCTCATTCACATACAGGTTCCTCTTCAGGACAAGCTCTATAATCAAGAAATAAACATGAAAATATGGCTACAGTCTTCATAAAACTAGTTCAATTTAGTAGCCCCTAGATTACTTACGGTAGTTATGGACGGTCTCTCGAATGCCACCATGAGCAGCGGTCTTTTCACTGAAGAAGCCTTTTATATCGAATGCTTCCTTTATCCATGTTTCAGTATTAAGCAGGGTCCCCACATATCTATTGTGACTCTGGTCTATGGGATAGATAGGGGTTAAATCCCTGTCAAAGATGAACAAGGCTCCATAAGAGCCACCCTGGAAGAAAGCAAGCAAGAAAGAAATTGTTTCTAGCTGATGTGTAGGCTGGAGTTATAAAGTGCCAAAAAATGGACGGAAGATCCCAGAATAATAATAATAATAATAAATAAAGAACAGAAAAACATAGTGTGGATGCCTTTCAGCATCCACACAATAATAAAGTAAAGAAGAAAAAAATGAACTAACACTTTGTCTACAGAACAATCAAAATTGATCAGTGTTATATTAGTCTTCTCACCTTTGTCCGGTTGAAGCTGATGATAACATCTGCTGTGTCTGTTCCATTCACATATGGCGCGTTATCGTCCTCATCGTTGACAAAAACATCCAGTGAAGTCTCCACCTTGGTGATGAGCATCTCTGTTTGTATTGTGCAAACTAGCAGTAGTCTGTAGCGTTCACTCTCCTCTCTGTCCAGCGGAGCAGTCACCACCAACTCTGTAGTGTTGTCATTTACAGCAAATGGTGCTGGGGTATCTGTAAACCAGAGTCAGAGCTCATATGGATGCAGTTTAACCTTTACTGAACACTGTACCACTGTGGCTACAATGACCTTATCAGCAATGTGCTTTATACAGTCTTTACCTAAAATTTGCTAACACTAGCTGACATTAGTCACCATAAGCTACTGGTCATAGCAGACCAAGTAAGAGTGTCGTAGTAGCACCCCTGATTGTACTGAATCGAGCAATGAAGCATTTTATGTCTTATGAATTCAACTATTTATTTGTAAGAGAAAAAATTATTGCTTCTTTTTTCAAAAAGTTACAAGGTCTTTCTTTAACGATTCTAACCTGATTCCACATTGTAAGAGATGGTGTAGTTGGGGCAGACATTGAGTCTGGTCAGACGTCGGAGTTGTCGCAAGGCCCCGGGGAACCTGTTCTCTGTGATGTGTGGGTTGGAGGAGTCTTTGTGTGGGAAGCATAGTTCCTTCTTATCTGTCTGAGCGCACTGTGGTAACGTGGTGTTGACAAAGTCCAGGGTGATCCGTGATCCGCTCACGCACTGGGGCTTCTTGGAGATGTAAGGCAAAACCATGGCATGCAGGACCAACTTATTCACAGACCATGAATGCTGATCTGATGAGACGCACAGCCAAAACAAAAGCAAGAGGCATTTTAATCACAGACAGTGCTTTTTTTTTTTGCCTGTATGCAATTACATTTTGAGCCTGAAGGCAGAAACCTGAACACAGAGCCAAAGCAAAATTGGTATGCAAAGAGCATAAACAAGAACCTAATTTACTTTCATGTGTACAGGATACCTGGCACTGACATGGGAATATACATCACAGTGAAATAGGTTGAACACAACTCACGTAGCAAGGCAAAGTCGCTCTCCTCCAGGTTTTTGTTCAGGGACAGTATTCCAGTGTTGATGTCCATGTGGAACCAGGAGCTATAGGGTGGACGTCTGAAAGCATTCAACACGCACAGGTAGAAATGTGGCCGCTCAGAGTTACTGTCGAGCATGGCATGAACCTGGAGGATCGGTGTATTTGCTGGCTGGCCAACATACACCGTCTCAGTGTATTCATTCTGAGGGAAGTACAGCCCTGTCGCTCCTGCAGAAAGAAGACAGATACTTAAAGTGAATATTCCCTTTAAGAAAAACATTGGTAGCTGATAAATAAGGCCTGATACTGCTGCTGAGTCTTATTACTGAGGAGGATCAAAGCAGTTATCAGACATCTGCTGGATATTTAACTGTTGCAACAGCACCCTGGTACAATGCTGTCTGGCCACTGAATGGAAATTAACACATACATGGAAAACGACAGGTTCCATTTCTTTCTCCTCTGATGTGTCTGTATCTCTCCTGTTAGCGGAAATTGAAATGAGGGCTCAAATGACATGTGTGCAGCTCTTTAAATGAATTTCTCATCTGGTCAATGACATGTGGTTTCCGATTCTCCTTGTGTTCACCTTGAGAAGTTTAATTACATGGGATAACATGATATGGAATCATTACCTACCAGAGGGGAGTATGGGCTGGGTATGTATATATGTATATATGTATGTGTGTGCTGGGGGTAATCCATAAAGAGCTATAGCGGGCTGTATGTTTTACAGGAAAATGGAGATGTGAGTGTCCCTCCTGTAATTATATCCCTGTTATGTTCCCCTTTGATGATGGTAGGCGACCATTTAGGGAACGCACTAATGTTATTAGCAGACAGCTAAACAAGATTTTCTATTTCTGTTGGTGCAGTTGAGGACTGGGATCCGGTTTCAGACATTGATTTAATTTTGCGATGTTTGGATGACAAGAGGCCGAGCTGATGGATAAAACGTGGCCGTCCTTCCTGAAGGATGGAGATACACTCAAGAAGGCTGCAGTCCTTTTTATTAAATGTGTTCCTGGGACAAAAACAAACAGCAGGCTACTTGTTTGTTAATCCTGCTGGGATGGTGAGAGTCAGTTTCATGACTGCTAACATTTTAGGGATGATTTCCCATTTGCCATATCTATCACAACCAAATTAGTGCCACTCATGCTCCTACTTGGAAAATGTACTGATAATATACTTATTTGCCTAAACTCCTCACTGTATGTTTTGTGCACAGTCTGCCTGACAACACACAAAATTCTTCAGTGCTGCTGTCAAAACTGGATCAAAACTACTGCTTGATAAGATATTTTTAAATAGATGAGATCGTATGGATTGATTTTTAATGCAAGTTTTAGTACACTCAGTAACAGAATCAAATTTTTTTCACATCTACTGGGAAAAACAAATGAAGCAAAAGACTGGCAAGGGTTTAAAAACATGAAAATAATATGAGAATTCTCATTTACATTCTTTCTTAAAAGCACTGCAATACATCATTCACCAATTTAATTTTTCTTCAACTACTGTTTCTACTGAACTTGAGTCTTTTGGAGAAAATACGTTAGTTGCAGCAAAGGATGCAAAATGTTCCTATAATTAAAATGAAACAATGTACTTCTTTTAATGTAATAATATAGTACAGTGATATTGATCCATGGGAGGCAGAAACAAAATGGTTAAAATCAAGTGGATAGCCTCAGTATTAAAACATGATATATATAGGAACTGTTAAATATTATGAAACCATTTCAAATGTGCCTGTCAGCAATACATAAGGTCTGAATTTGCTGGAAGCAACTTCAATAATGACATGAGGAGGAGTTATAAAGGCAAAATCACAAAGTGCATGATGATTTTATGTGAGAAAATATGGGGAGTGCAACTCAAGACACTTGTGCAGTCTCAGTGTAGGTCTCCATCTGTATACCGAAAATGACCATTGGAGGGAGACATTATCATACTGACACAGGCCCAAACCATCAGAGTGGAAAACTGCTCCTTAGTATTTATCATAATACAGTACATCATTACACTAATTCCTGTACTATTTTAATCAAATTAAACATCCTGTATTCATTTGTATTTTTAACAAGCTTGAAAAATACTATATGCTATAGCCTATTATTAGATAAATAAAAAAAAAGAATTTAATCTACACAACCCTGCCATCAAGCAAACAGAAAAGATAACAGCAGGTCTTCAAATAAAACTAGAAGGTCCAATGTGTTAACCAGTGAGAACTATACACATTAATGAATGCTGGCCTTGGCTTGAAGCCACGGTGGCAGGACCCTCTACAACACAATTTGTTTATATCACTCAAAATTCAATTTCTTTCCAGGACTGAAGCCAACAGAAAGCAAGCAGTTTATATCAAAACTAATTAATTGAATGGATCAAACAGGCTTCTCTTTGCAAATGGCATCTTTGGTCAGTGAAGCCATGATGATGATTTTCCAAAGCATGACTCATTACCTTCCCTGAATGATGCACCAGAATGACAGAAATACAGATCACATTGATATTTCACCAAGCATGGGTGATGATTTTAAACCATGAAATGCAGTACACATCTTATTTCAATTCTGCATCTTGGGAACACTGCAACATGTTTTAGATTTTGACATATAGATGGATAAAAATCTGTTTTTTGAACAGCCTTGAACCACTATAACACCAACTGTATAAACATTAGCATCATAAGCAGAGCTTTTACAGCCTTCACGCATCTATAAAAGAGATGCTGAGCTGCCACATACATTTCATCAAAAGCTTAAATAAGTCATTTTTCAAACAAAGCCAGTGTTTGAACCGACGGATTCTCATAGAAATCCATGTTTACAGTAGATCTCATGTACTGTTGAACAGTTGGACAGTGAACCTAAACTTGTAATGTATAATGTATCAATGGTGGAAAACCCTCTCACTCATCTAGGCACATATGCTTTTCCTGCTTGTCTTTGATGACTCCAGTTTCCTTGAGGTAATAATAATGCGACCATTTTGTCTTGTATTTTAACTGTGGAAGGACAAAAAGGACAAAAGCCTATCACAGAATCTGAAACCACGTGTTCAGTCAGCCACAGACCACAGTGTGTCTAGGACTGGTCAAAGCTGATAGGGTGGGACGCCCTGTTCGTCGTCCCAGACAAAGACAGGAACTCAATTAGCTCAGTGCGTGCTTTGGCTGATAGATTTAGTAGCGATGAGCTCATGTGCTGGAGTAAGACTCAAGCTTTCTAAAGTAAATCTGTGGAAGTGAAACAAAACGTGGATCTCCCACCCAGATGTCCTCACTGAGCATCCTTGTCAACAGCATGTCAGATCAGGAAAAGTGACCCAACCTGGCTGCTGTATGATTCATTGCCTCACTAATCTTAGGCTGGACCTCCTGCAGTGCCCTCTGTTTCCCAAGGTCAGCATGTAACAACCCATCAGAAAGGCAGTGTATCTGGCAGCAGACCAGTCAATAACCATGCTAATCAACGATGATGCTGATTGTTTTCCACTGATGAGACAGACAGGGAAAATAGCTGATGGCTGCATGTGTATAATCACCTCTGCTGGACATAATATGGACCCATTTGTTTAGTTGCATGACCTCTGAAATATTACATCTACCGATGGGTTTAATTTCACAGCCAGCTCAACAATTTGCTCCTTCAATATCAACATTTTCAAATAATACATCATCTATTACAAAGTAACTGTATCCAGCGGCACTAAGGAGCTTTTTACCCAGTTATATCATGGTGATGTAAACACAATAAAAATTACAATCACTCTGAAACCGGTCATGAATACTCTGCAGACAAAGATGTAACAGTTATGGGAATGATTCTCTTCAAGGATTCAATTAACTAAAAAGGTGCACATTGAGCTATAATTCCACTTAAGAAGGCTATTATTTATCATAACAACTTGAAATCTCTCCCTCTTGGTTTCCTGTGCTAGTATGCACAATTGCTTCATCATAACAAACTGGATCCAGAACCTGAATCTAATATAGTTCTATTGTGATGCTTTCAATCTCAAAACAATGAGATGTAATAAGGAAAGAAAGTCATTTCCTGTCATGATGACACAGTAATCAAACTTTTCATCAGAGTAATATGATATCTGATCTCAGTTTGTAGGAGGCAGTCGACTCCAGGTAGATTACTCAGTTTACCGTGCTGCATACCGTAACATAATAAATTACCCCATAATGTAATCCAGTTAGCCCTCAGAGAATACAAGAGCTAAGATCCAATGAAACATGTTCATCAGTCATCAAGAAATCTAATAGAACATCTCCTTAGGGTTTAGCTACAAGTACAAATTCAGTTTAAGCATTCCTCTGGGTTGATAGTGGCATCAAATATTGAACACGTGGTACATTATAGAAGCCCAGACTGAGTTTTATGCAATAGTCATTAGACTGTGTTGAAAAAACAGCTCTATCCTCATCAGAGTGGTAGTAAAAAGCCTTTTGATTCCCTGACATATACACAGAGGCAGGCAAAGACTGTAACTCTTTGTGGCAAAATAAAATAAAACTAGAACTACAGTACTGCTTTGCAGTTGTATGCCAATCAGTCAAATTCACAGAAATGATACAGATGTGATGTCTCTGACATATGACATCACATCTGACATATGACCACCAAAATCTATTCAGTTCATCCTTGAATTCACATGGACGTTTGTACCAAATTTGAAGAAATCCTCTCATTTCTGAGATATTGCTTTCACAAGAAAGGGACAAATGTGAGGTCACGGTGACCGTGATCTTGACCACTGACCACCAAAATTCATTGCATAGGTAGATATTGTGCCCACAACAATCTGCTGGGCGGACTACCTGTCAGGATTTTGTCCTGCCTGTTTCCGGTCTTGTGCTTTTATTTTGACAACTTCTTGTTTTAACCATATCACAGCTATGGACTTTTTACTTTAATCAACACTCATTGCTTACACCTGTTTTCACCCCATTAAAAGCAGCTTTCCAACCACTGGAAAGCTGCCAGATTGTTCTAGAGTCCAGCTCTGACTTTCCAGCATTTATTCTTGTGCCTGACTCTCTAGTTCTGATCCCAGATTGCTTGTTTGACCACCGTACCTTGCCTTATCCCCCCAGATTCTGACTGCCTGCTGTGTAGCGACCCTCGGATACCTCCTCACTGACCTTGCGATTGTGGATCCCTCGGCTGTGTGTGTTTGCCGGTAGTGACCTTGGACTGTAGTATTGACCCAATTTTGATTTCTGGACTTTTGTTCTGTTTGTTTTATTTGGCAAGTAAAGAGACTATCCTCTACGTGTGTTCGTCTGGCATTATAATTGAGTTCACCACAGACACTATTTGGCAGCTTCACTCGCCAAACCTGATGCTACCTCAAAACATAATGCCTCTGGCTGCAGCTATTGCCTGCGTGGATGCATAATAATTTGTATTTGCGGGACTCATTAAGATAACTAGATGCTTGATTTTGAGAATCAAGAACTTTCTGACCAATGCTCACATTTTTACTTGTTGGTACACTATTTGCTCTAATTAACAGCATCCAAACAAGGAGCATATTTGATTGACACTACCAAAAGAAACAGATGCTTCACATATTTAAGGACATCTTAAACACAAAGTACAACTTGAATGGAATTAATTTTGCAGATATTTGCTCATGTACTAAAGTACTTTCAGAGTTTCTGGTGCTGGCAGGTGGTGCAAGGCAGTAGAAAAATTATTTCTGACGTGTTTACCCACTTCAGTAAAATGAAGGATCAAACAAATGGACAGGGAGGGTTGCCAGGGTGGAGCTGGTGGAAGAGGGGCACACGGAAACATTCTCTTTCTGATAAGCAACAACGTGGTTTATGGGAAACCAGGTTTGAATTAAAAGGCTGGACTTACTGGAATTGGAATTTGGACTGGAAAAATTTCCCACTACAGGTTTTGTTTTTACCAGTTGCAATAACTGAAAATAAGATTTTCATGCCTGAAGTGGGCAAACACTACCTTCACTCACATTCAGCTCTACAGTATCACACAGGCCGTGTGGATTCAAACGAGCTAAGCTTGTTTCATTCATTGTCGTAAATGTTGGGTTAAGCACAGCATGCACTGCTAGCTAGGCAACTGGAAAATAACTTGTCAATGCCCATGTGAAATGAGAGGACTAAATGCCCCGAGGGCAAAATTTCAATCAATGTCTCCTTGTCCTTTCACCACAGCAAATTAAATTCTTCCCATGCATGAGGGTGAAGTGTGACCCTGAGCTGACTAGAGGATCAGGGAGAGAGCTTTGACAGGTAGGAGCAGCATCCATACAATGCCAGCAGCAGCAGAGTTAAAATGCTGGTCCAGTTTGGTCAAAACCTTAAGGGGCGATGCATTTTTACCAACATTTTTGTGATTCAAAATTGCATATGTTTGAAGAAAGGAGGGGCTATAACAGAACTTTGAAAGAATGAAACTGCATCACTCCTCTGATTCTGATAAAACTTGCAAACTTAACAGGAGGTACAGTATCAGCTGCATTTGTGGCAGGCAGCCTGTTTACTGATGCTATTTAAGTTGTTTTTGGAGTTTTTAGTTTTAAAAAAAGGAGACAGTATCTTTGATTTATTTTGTATTTTATTCTATTTAAGCTTTCATAAAATTTGCAGCTGATTGTCTTTTCAGGGGCTGGGAGGCTCAGGGTGAGATGGGCATAGGCCAAATGTCTGTGGTTTTGTATCACATAGTGATATTGTATGATTTAATTTAAAAGAAAAAATACAGAACACTAAAAAAATTAAGTGCCATAAACAGAGATGAGAATCTAATTCCTTTTTTTGTTTGTTTGTTTTTTTTGCTGAAAAACTATCATATTTTTTTATGAAGACCCAAAGAGAAGCATTGCTGTTTGCAAGATTTATTCTAAAAGATCTTCTCTGCAGTAAAGAATTTGCATCATGGTATTTGCCAGTTATACTAAAAGAGATGTATTGACAGCAAAAGTGGAAAATTGACAAGATGTATAATGTATCTATAGGCAACACAAGACAGAAGCTCTACTAACTCATGTAATGTAATAAGGAACTATATCAAATAGCAGCATGTATCAAATGAGAATTATAGGTCTGGTCCTTTTCTAAAGCAAAAGATGCTAATGACAATGTTTGTTCTAATGCATGGGGAAGGAGGAACAGCTAAAGAGGCTGCAAACATGGCTTCCTCTGGGATGGTGGGGCATCAGTGATGATTACCAGTTGGTTAAGGTTTAACGGCCAGAGGGCAAGGCAGGGTCAAAGATACAGCAGCAAGGTCATGGTGGAAGATAAACGAATCAATGCTTTTATGTGAAAACATCTGGGGCTCCTCCTGTGGAAGTGACGGATTACACACGAATGTCTGTTAAAAGGATTTGGCTACTTTTAATAAACGCTTTCACCAGCTACTACTGAGTGTGAGCTCCAAATATTTGATATACTGCAAAACTGCCAACTTGTTCTTTAGGCCTTCATCCCTTACTCGAATCATTAGCCAGCATCCATTTGAATAAATGAAATGAATCAAAGGGAATTTCAACAGGCTCTCTAAATGCAAAATAAACTCCATGTGTTTCTTCCTAACCTTCAAATATAAATTCTAACAGAGCCATGGCTAATCAAAAGACTTCAGTGCCTTTCATAAAAGAATGCTCAAAACCTTCTTTACATCCAAGCAGCAACTAACTCCATTATTACTAACTACATAACCAAAGAGGCCTGGTGCCTCTTTCAGTTCACTCTAATCTAACTGTTCAGGGCAATGCTACAGCCACATTTAAAAATGCTGATTACTCTTAGGGAACAGGAATTGTCAATTTCCTTTGTTTAATTACCTCAACAAGAAACACACATGCTAATCAGTAACCTATAACCTGGAGCAGTGACAATGCATATTTCCAAACACTCAGCACTGCAATGTATGTTTTTCACAACCTAAACTAACAATGAAGCCATTTCTACAATAGGTTCAATGACTTGTAGTTTGATGAAAAGTCACATTAGAGGGTACGTGATACAAAAAGGGCACCACAGCGTGATTGAACTGCCTAGAATTTAAGCATTTCAAATCTTTTCATGAGAGCAGGAGATGTTGTACTGTTAATGGTGTCAACAGTCAGAGCAAAAATGAGACAAAATTCACAGCTTCAAAATATGCAACAAAATCAATTTGATGTGTAATTTTTCATGGCAGTAATGTTCAGCCTGCAATCTGAACGCTGTGTGTACTTGTATAACAGGTGATATTTTCCTAAAGAAAACAAACAGTCTGTGTTTGCCCAGAGATAGGTGCAGCTGCTGCACACCTGCCTGTGGATCACCTCTCCTCCTCACGGAACAAGTGTAGGTCTTTTGTTACAGCAAACAGGCAGGTGATGGGCGCTGTGTTTTGCTGGGTGAAACTTCATCACCTGCTCAATTACCATCGTGTCCTTGACGCAAGACATCAAACTATAAATATCAGGAGAAATGCCTGCTTCAGTGATGCAGAGCACAGCAAAACTGACATGGAAGGTGTGTGACATAGAAGCATCATATTTAGCTACTGTGTATGTGATGTGACTCCACATCTCCACTGTCTGTCACAATGAAAAATAATCAAAGAACATTACGCACACAACTGTGGCACCTTCAAATTTTCATTAATCGTTTTCTGCAGAAAACAGCTCCCTTGGGTGGTTACGTAGTTTACAGATAAACCCACTATAGCACTGACCCATTCACATCAAAGTAATTCAATTCTGTATCTATGATGAGCTCTGATAGTAAGACTAAAGTAAAAAAAAAAAAATCCATGAATTCCACACCATGGCCTATATTTGTCACCTTTAACATACTTGCTGCAGACTGAGGTTTGCACACTCCTGAGCTATGACAGATTTTTTAAATATAGACTACATGGGTGGACAGTGTTGGTACAGTTGGGCTCTGGTATTGTGAATGGGATTATAATATTATGATATATGGCTGCATTCATTTGCCTCTAAGTCTCACTGTGCCATGCCACGCATAATAGCCAGCAGCACAATGCGAGTATCACTTTCTGCAGCGTAAAGCAGTGCTGGCAGTGATCC